TTTTTCCCAAAAAAAAAAAAGCTAAAGAGGATAGAGAGAAACTCTGTTAACTGATGGTATGTGGAGGGGATTATAATCAATGTAATGAAACAAGGTACATGAATGTTTGAATGTGAAACCGATGATGTGTCCTGAAAACTTTCACTCAATCCACAATTAAAACCTTAAAAAAAAAAAGGCAGTATGACTGGTTACTACAAGAATAAGCAAGTTATTCAACGGAAAGCCATCAAGGCAAGCAATCAAGTCCCTTCAGGACAAACCCCCCTTCAAGACTGAAACTCAAAGGGAACACATGAGCAGGCATGTAAGCTTGCTGGTGACCACACTAGTCTACTGGTGAGTGGAAGAGGGGGAAAGATAGCAATGAAGAAATGGACTGAGTTCAACCATGTTCCATAGACTTCCATTGACCTGGAGATGAGATAGAAAAGAGGAAGGGCTGGTTAGTTCAAAGTGTGGTGAGACCTGGGGACTCCTGAGCTCATGGACAAGGACATAGCCATGGAGGGCTAGAGCTGAGAGTGAAGCATCCAGCTGATATGAAGTGAAGGGAGACACACAAGAACACACAAACCTGCAGATCGTACCCATTTGACATAGTCTTGATGGCTTGATAATCAGAACTCGACTAGAGAAAGATAAAAAAATTTAAAAAAAATTTTTTTTTTTGATAAAGGAAACAAGTGTAAATTGCTACAATTTGATTAACTCTACCTATTTTTATGGATGTAGTAGCCCAAAATACCAGGGCTACTACATCCATGAGTATCTACCCTGTATACAAAGAAGGTAAGATTGACACTTGATATGAAGGGATGGAGTCTTCACACCAAGTATTAATGCTCTCCCCTCTGTATACAGGATAGATAGGGATGGGAAACTTAGATATTGGCTACCTAAAATGGGAGGGCGATAAAGGAACAAAGTGACTGGCTTACAAGTTTTCAAGAGGACGTTTAGCTTAAGAGTGTGCAGGGGAAGATAGAGTCCCTACTGAATAGTTTTCATCTTGTCTAGACGGGTCTGGTGAAATGAGATAGGGATAAGATTCTTATGATTCAACAGTGAGTAATTGTTATCATGACTAATTACGACTGTCACAACTGTAAAGGTAGAAATTTTTAACAAAAATGTGGGAGTAGTTAATCTTACAGTACAGAAACAGAGGACCCTAGGACCATCAAAGGAGAAGATCCCAAGAGCAATACAGGACACTATCCAAAGAAGCAGCAACACCAGAGATGGAGGCAGAGATGAGAACATGAAGAGAGGGAGCAGCTGAGGACTCTAGACTCATGGAAAGAGAGGGACTGAGAGCTGGTGGCCAGGAGGCAGGCTTGCGGAATGTGCCCTTTGGTTGTTCAAATTCTTGTATATTCCTGAGTGCTTTTGTGTACATCTCTCCACCAGCCCACCCCACCCCCCAAAAAAAGGAAAAGGAAAGCAGAGGGAATGGAATCAAATACTACTGAATGATGATGCAGGGAGGAGATTGTAATCATTGCAGTGAAACAATGGTGTAAAGCCAATGCTCTCCTATCACTTAGTTCACAATAAAATAAAATAACTAAATGTCTATGAAAAACTTTTTTTAAACGAGAGTATTGATGCATTTTAATTGTGGTGTTGGCAAAAAATATTGAAGGCAACATGAACTGCTAGAAGAGCAAACAAATCTGTCTTGGAAGAAGTGCAACCAGAATGCTCTTGAGAAGCAAGGATCATGAGACTTCATCTCAATGTATTTTGGATATGTTATCTGGATCCACTAGACAGTACTTAACAACCACAACAAATCTGTTGGATAAGGACATCTGGAAAAGGACATCACGTTTGATAATGTAGAGGGTCAGAGAAAAAGGGAAAGATCCCCCCACCCCGGGAAGTATTGATACAGTGGCTGCATCCATGGACTCAAACATAACAATTGTGAGGACGGTGCTGCTGTTGCTGTTAAGTGCCATTGAATCGGTTCCGACCCATAGCGACCCTATATAGAGTTTCTAAGGAGCGACTGGTGAGCTGGAACCGCCGACCTTGCAGTTCAAACGGCTTTGCAGTCTAGCGCATTAACCCACAGCGCCACACCAGGATGGTGCAGGATTGGGTATTGTTTCGTTTGTTGTACGTATTGTTTCTATGAGTAGAGAGACTCCACTACCTAACAACATTGGCTTAAATCTAAGAACAAAAGCTAAGTCCCATGTTCTCGCTCTCTTTCTTTTTTTTTTTTTTGTAAACCATTATATAGTAAATCTAGATGACTTCAAAAAAAAAAAAAGGAGGGGTCACTATAAAGTTTACAAACAGATTGGTGGTCACATTATGTGCTCCAAGACAATTCTAGTGATTAAGAGACGTTGTTAGGTGCTATCGAGTTGGTACCGACTCATAGCGACCCCATGCACAACAGAAGGAAACACTGCCTGGTTCTGAGCCAACCTCATAATTGTTGCCACGCTTGAGCCCATTGATGCTGCCACTTTGCCAATCCATCTCGCTGGGGGCACTAAAAGGGCTAAAGGGGTAACATAGCTCCAAATAGAGAAAACTATTAAGCTTTGTTTCTTCTTGTTGTTAAGTATTGTTTTTAATCAGTCTTTAAAAATAGACCCCTAGAAATGATCGCAGTGGGTGAGATAGCATGTGGCAAGAGTGTCTCAACGGAGAACACGACATATTACCTTTCAAAGCCCCCAAAGAACCGAAGCTGAGCCTTTGAAGGCTCCTGATGGAATCAACAGGCCCCGTGGGGGGAAGCCTGCCAAGCTGGGCACTAGAGGGCCTTGCACTGGGAGGAGATGCCAGGATAGTAGTTGGGAAGGCCCCAGAGCCACACGGCTGGGGTAACCACCCCTGCGACGGAATAGGATGACTCTCCTAAGGCCATAACACTAAATGGGAGACAACGCCCTCCCGGCCCATGCCCGAGGATGCATTACTAGGCTGCCCTCTAAGAGCGCCCAACCAGGTGGGTAAGAGGGATGGGCAAAGGATGCAGCCCAGGTGTGCGCGTCTATGCCACGCGCCTGCGCAAGGGCTCAGCCAGGCCCACAGCTTTAGCCTCCTATGCTCCAGCGCCTTTCCCTTCTTCACCCCACCCTCCCCTCAACAGGCACGTCACAAAGAGCGACAGGCAAAGCAAACAATCACAGTTACCGTCCTGGGGGCCCAGAAAGGGAAAAGGAGGGAAGAGAGGGAAGGAGAAAGCTTCGAGGGCGGGCTCGTCCTTGCTATCCAATCAGAGAACTCTGGGGCGGGGTGGGGAGGGGCCCCAGAAGTGGGTGGGGGGTGGGGTTAGGGAAAGGAGCGAGCCGGCTGCAGGGAGAAGAGGGCGGGCTCCCAGAGATTAGAAGCGGCCAATCAGAGCGCGCCGGCTTCATTCGGAGAGCGGCGTGGGGCGTCGCCGCTGCCGCCGCGCGCGCCGGGGGCTGGTTAAGGCCATGAAACAAAAGAAAGCCTGAGAGGGGAGCCGCTGCCACCTCCACCAGCCCGCCCCGCTGCCGTCCCCACCCACCCACCTAGTTACCTACCTCGTCCTCCTTCCCCGGCCCCTCCACCCCGCCCTCTCCGCTCCCCGGGCGGTGCTGGCGCTCCCCAGCCCGGGTCGCCGGCCCCGCCGCCTCCCCAGAGGAAAGGTGTTTGCGCTCTGAGCAGGGCCCGGCCCTGTCCGCCATGGGGCTCGCCGCCTGCCGCGCCTGACCCGGCCGCCGCCG